TGACTCTTAACATGACACAATTGAGAAAAATGATTCATATTACCGACCCCACAGTGGGATAAAGGTTTAATGTTGTTGTTGCTCTAGTGATCATAATTATTTGAGCAAATTTTATAAGGTATCTATTTTTTATTCATGTCATCCCATTTTGTTGAATATGAATATAAGAACTATGGTGAACTCTTCCTTGTTAAAACAGATACTGTCCAAAAAATTGCACTAAAATATTGTTTCCCATAATCATAATGACTCTAATTTGAGTTTGTATAAAAGAATGGAATTTTTGATAAATTGGACTAGGTTTTTTATTAGTTTTTATGAGGATATAAATCGATAAAGTTGTTCTAATATGGTTTTTAGAAAAGGGTATAAATCTCTTAGCATTTTAGATGATCTCCAAATATCACCATGGATATTAGTGAAAAGTTGTGAGGCTTTATTCAAATGATTGATACGTATTTCGAGTATGTTTAGATAATTTCGATTTTTATTGATGAATAGGGAGGGAAAATTTTTCTTAAGTTAACGTGAAGCTCGGACGACCAAGGCTTGACCACAACATTATTATACTTTCATTAGAAGAAGATCATGCTTCACTTATCTTTCAAAATTTTCTTCAACATTCAAGTGGTAGAGGAAAACATTTTTCTTGGCATTGTCAATTATCCTCCATGGTATCATATCTTAGAATTCATAATGAATATTAAGAAATTTAGTATAACAGTTCTTATCTTTGATAAGTCTATTGATTGATAATAACTTGTGGGTACGTTTAAGAGCCAAGAGAAATGAGTTAGAATTGAGGTAGTGGTGTCGATAGACACAATGCTAGTTACTTGAGATAGTGACCGATCGTTAATTTTGATTGTATAATTTTGTTAGAGGTGAAGGGTTGGAAATATAGATGAATATCTTGTTAAATGATTAGAGGCTCTAAAGTCCACAATCTAAGACACTAGCAGCATTCAAAATCATTCTTTTTTGGAAAAACAAACCAATGTTTAAGTATTTAATTTGAGCTGGTTGAACTTCCTATTTGATTGGGTCCATTGGAGGTAAGTTTGTTTGTTAAGCTTGTGTCCAATTACCGAAGAGTTGGAGAAGATCTTTTTTGGATACCATTGTTGTCTTGAGACGTTGATTCATGACTAAAGGTGGTGTCTGAGGAGTAGCTCCTTTTCAATGCCATTTTACTTTTAACCATCATCATGATTAAACTGGGTGAAGAAAAAGAAAAAAATCTGAGAGGAATTAGAACTATAAGAGGAAGAGTTAGAAGTCTGAGAGGAATCGTAAACTAGAGTCTGATATCTCTAAAATCTTTTTGAAAGAAATATTGGAGAAGATTACTATTTTTTTTTTCTTATTCCATCAAGTAGAAGGGCTATATATTATCTAGGAGATACAAAGCCTGATCAGCGGGCCTAGAATAAAAGTACGATAAGGAATGAATGAAGTCACAATTGATACACTCAAGGAGAAAAACGTGAAAGATTTTAAATATGATCAAGTACAACAATCATAGATTGTATGCATGATATTATTCCATTGCAAAATATGGAATTGAGTAGCTGGTAGCCTACAACAGCTTTTAAGACTCCCAAATATGATTCTAAGATTTCAATAATCCTAAAGTCGAGGATATGTCAATTGATTGAAAAATTTATATCAGTCTTAGAGAATAAGATGGCAAGAATTGCAGTTGCTATAGTAGAATCAATTTTTGAAGCCGAACAATGAGGTTGTGTGAGAAAATAATGAAGCATGGTGATGTGAAACGTAAATGCCATTTACTTGCCTAGGTGGCAAGATTAATTAAAGCCCAAATCAATTTGGGGAGAGAGAATGGAAATTTGAAATTAAGAAGTAATTAAAGATAATTCAAATTCAAATTTTGAATTTGAATTGTCATTAATTGGGAGGATTAATTGATTTAAATCTTAATTTAAATTTTAGATTTAAATTAATGGTTATTGGCTTAATTGAAGGGACGAATTTAAGGAGTAATTAATGCTAATTCAAATTCAAATTTGAATTTGAATTAATTTGAATTTGAATTGTCATTAATTGTGAGGATTAAATGATTAATTGATTTAAATCTGAAATTAAATTTCATATTTAAATTAATGGTTATTGGCTTAATCGGAGGGACGAATTTAAGGAGTAATTAATGCTAATTCAAATTCAAAATTTGAATTTGAATTGTCATTAATTACTCCTTAAATTCGTCCCTCCAATTAAGCCACGAAACTCTCCTCAAGAACTCACAAAGAGATCTTGAGAATATCGGAACTCACAAAGAGATCCGCGAAACTCTCCTCAAGAACTCACAAAGAGATCTTGAGAATCTCGGAACTCACAAAGAGATCCGCGAAACTCTCCTCAAGAACTCACAAAGAGATCTTGAGAATCTCGGAACTCACAAAGAGATCCGCGAAACTCTCCTCAAGAACTCACAAAGAGATCTTGAGAATCTCGGAACTCACAAAGAGATCCACGAAACTCTCCTCAAGAACTTACAAAGAGATCTTGAGAATCTCGGAACTCACAAAGAGATCCGCGAAACTCTCCTCAAGAACTCACAAAGAGATCTTGAGAAAGTCGGAACTCACAAAGAGATCCTTCTGAACTCACTAAGAGATCAACATGAAAATAAAATTTTCCATTATCAATAATCCATCCTCCAAATACAAGAGAATGGGCCTCTATATATAGGCCTCAAGAGAAATTAAAAGACACATTCGCCCCTTGGGCTTACATAAAACAAGAGGGTAAAATGGGAAATTGCAAAACTAAATTAAAATACACTTAATAACGAAAATAAAGCAAAGTGATCTCGGTCGTCAATCTTCAGCTCCTCCTCGGATTGGTATGGACGGTTGGATGTCCGCATCAATAGGCTTAGTAATGTCATACAAGTATTAATGAATAAAGTTGATTTATACTTGAAGGATTTTTTATTATGAAGTTAATTTGTGTTAAGTCAATAAATGAAAAAAATGTAGCCAGTAATAAAAGTGTTCATGCTCTTTTGTTGGTATTGAAGATGCATATGCTCGAGTATCACAATATTTGTTTGGCAGGCAGTGATAAGTAAATTTGTAATTTAAATTTGCATTAAAGGTTTGTTGAAATTGTTAATTTAGCGACTAGCATTAGAAATATTAATGAGAAAAGTTCAAAATGGTTCATTGATTATTTATTTGTGATCTATTTTAATCTCAAACTATTGTCTGTCTTCAATTTAATCCATTTACTCTATCAAATTCATCCCAAATGGTTCCTCAGTTAAAAAGTAACGAGAAATATGGTAGAAGTTAATGCTTGAAATTAATTGTAAGGGTTTTGTTTAGATATTTCAAATATTTGTGTATTTTTCTTTACTATATTGCTTTATTTCTCACCTAATTGTGCTACAAATGAGAAGCAGTCAGAATGGGAAAAAGGGCTCTGGTTTGAGGTTAAGTTTGTGAATTTATTTGTTTATGTAGCATTTAAGCCTAATTTGCTTCATTTGGATTCATTTTTTTGTCTCAAACTATTGAGAAGTTTTTCATAAGATGAAATAGATTGACTTAAATTTTTGTTTTTTTGTTTGGCAAAACATTCTTTTTTTTTTGTTGATATCATTGAAAATTTTTCCAGGTAGACCAATTATTTTTCAATTACATCAATAGAAACATCATTATTTTCCAACAAAACTTTTAACTCAATGTATTGCATGTGTGCAAAATGAGCTTGATGCAACCAAAAGCAGATCACTTTTCCAAGCTTGTATCTTACAAAAGTTTTATCTTTAATCTCTAGCAACATAATTCAATCAAATCTTACATATAACTTCAAGTTAGTGCCTAATCTAAGGTCTTACTCTCAGCAACGAATATACATTACTATGATGCACTGATATTTCTTTTCAAAGCGGCATGCAGTGTCTGACACGTATCTGACATGATACGTATCTGACACTCCTCCGACATGCGTCGAACACGCCGAAAACGTGTCCGATTAAAAAAATATTAAATACAAATTGGACACGTGTGTTCGACACGCGTCTTAAATATTTTATGAATTTTTTAAATATTATTTCTTGTATTTAAAATATTTACTTATTTAAAATATAAAATTAAATTTCTTATTTCCTATTCACAACACCAAATCAATTGTCCACACTTAATTCATCAAATATTCTCATTTTTATTTCTCTTTGACAAGTTTCGAATTTGATTTCACAACAATGTCTGATGTCATTTCAACATCAACATTTCAAAATGATCTCCATATCAAAGTTTGACATTTTTTTGACATTGATGCTTGACGCTATTAATTTCTACACCCGCAACTTGACATCTCATCTTTGTCCGACGCATTCTCAACATCGGCAATCGACGCTCTCTCAACAATAATGATAAACGCCCACTTAACATCTAACATCGATGTCTGACTCTCGACAACATTGTCGTCTCCTCTTCGATGACTGATAAACGACATCGATATCTGACTCTTGACATTCTAATATTAATTTTCTTAAGCACAAATTCTAGTTTAATAATTTATTATTTTTAATATTATACTTATTCAATTTTTATATACTATTTTTAAATTATAAAAACTATCATATTGTGTCCAACCCAGTCCTTGTTCTATATTTTCAATTATTGAAGTGTCTTGCGTCCGTGTTCGTGTCGTGTGATCTTGTCGTATCCGTGTTGTCGTGTCCGTGTTTGTGCATCATAGATGCATTATAAAAATTAAATGATAAATGCTCATTTAATTTCTTTGCAAAACATCTCAATGTAACTATTTTGTTGAGTCATATTTTGTTGAAAATAATGGCAATATTGAAACGTCTTTTAAGATAATTCTGGTGACTTGACATTGTCTATCAATCATAGCAATCTTTAGTGTTCTTGGCAATATTATTGATGATCTTATATTTGTGTTAATTTTTACACAATTCTCAATTTTTTTTTTTTTTTTTTTGTTATCTGATTACCATATAGATTTGAAGGAAATGCTGCATCATGCTCACAACCATTCAGTGAACGTCATCAAAGAGAACGAGAAGTTAAGAGAAAAGCTTGCCTCAAAGAGAGAAGAGCTCAACTTCAGATTTGAAGAACTGAATAATTTGGTTGCTCTGACTGATACAGAGAGAAAGAAATTAGATGATGAGAAAAAAAAGGTCTTAATTCCATTTTTTTGCATTTGTTGACATATCTTTCATTAATTTGAACCCTTTGTTCTGATTGATTGGTGAACTCATCTTGTTGGAATTGTTTTGAGTTCGTGGAAGTAGTTTATGACTCAATTATTTTACTTGTGACCATTGAATGCTTATTTAATTCAACCAAATCTTGCCATGTCTACTCAAGTGTCAACATATTTTGAAGGAATGAATAAATTTGAGTCCACATCATCATCATCATCATCATCATCCTTAGCCTAACTATCTGGGGTTGGTTTTGTGTTTCTTTTTGCTTCATTCTTTATTTTGAGTTTTGTATGACTTCTCAATTCAAATTTATCCAAGTCTTTTTTGACAGTGGAAGTTATATTGTTTGTGTTCTACCTTTTTTCTATTTGGATGTCTAAATCACTAAAGTCTAGTTTGCATTATTAGCGTCAATAGGTGTTACTCCATCCCTCTATATAATGTAATAATTTCTCTCTATCCTTGTTTAACCTCTACCACACAAGAATTCAAAGCCACATATCATATACGATCCATTTCCCAAGTACATAAGATGACCTGTCGCTCTTACAAACAAGAAACTACAACATACTTTCGAGAGCTAGTAAACTTGGTAGCAGCTTTAACACCCTCAGACATCAGATGCTTGGCCAGCTCGCCAAGAATCAGGCAGTCTTGAATATCGTGAGAAGTAATGGTGGACTTCTTTTAGTGGCCAAGGTGAGAACTCTGCTGAGAAAGCTTCTAAAAATTGTGATCAATGAAGGAATTCATGATACTAATTACCTTTCTAGAAATTTGAATGCCAGGGTGCGCTTGCTCAGGATTTCGCCTTATTTTTCTTGTTCTTGTCACCAACTTACTTGGTGTGAGGTCGTTTCTCCGCCTTCAGCTTCTTGGTTGGCTTTTATTCCCCGGCATTTTATCCTCTGTATCGGTCTTCTTCTCTGCTGCTTTCTTTTCTGTCGGGAGCGTCTTTGGATTAGTGATCGAGTAAAGAGTTAATTGAGATAGCCAGGAGAAATATTTGTTGGATATCACATATCTATCTTAACATTGTCCTGTTTATGAAGCTCAACTTGATTGTCAGTGATTTATTTACTAAATACTCCTTGGATTCTTTTTTCGTAGATAGTCAAATTATAGCATTATAATATTTATCTTGAAGTCTTTAAGATGTCTTTTATTATATAGAATTTTGGAGATATTTATCCTTTTTAATCAACTTTAACTTTAGAATATGCACTTAGACCTATCAACCCTTTATATCATTTCATGTTTCATGTATACTATAAATTGTATGTGTACTCAATCTTTGATCTAGTAATCCTTAGTTTTTTATCTTCAAAAAATTTTCTCAATTTTTTTTACATGATGTCCAGTGAACTCACCTATTAACTAGATTATCTATAAATAGCATACTCTTAATACTTCATCTGGAATATCTTATATAAATATCTCCTTAAATCAATACAAATTATGCAAATTTAATGTAATACTTTTGTGTAGTTCCATTGCAATTGGAAAACTGATGAGGACATCGTCAGCATTTTTTTGACACGTGTACCATCAGGAGACGCCGGAGATTGACGGCTACGATCATGAGTTTTATTTTGAGTCATTTCATATAGTAGTTTATGTTATTTTTAGTTTTTTCCGCTTTTGCCCTTATGTGTTGTCTCCTAGTGGCATCGCTCGGTTGCTCTCAATATTCCTCCAATTAAAAGTGCCACCAACAAGAGAGTAAGTGAGAGACCCAAGGTGAAAAGTTCTATTTGTTAATTGTGGATTATTGTTTCTCTCCATAACATTACTATCTAATTCTATGTTGTCAATTTGATATTGTCCCATTAATCTAGTTATAACCACTTGCCTTACTTAATTTCGACTTGATAATTCCGAGAACTTAATTTGGTGAGCATTAATTCTATAACTAGCAAAGCTTTAACAATCTTATATTGAAATCCCCAAGCAGTTCTTGTTTACATGCATTACGTTTCACATCAAAAACCTTTGGATTTTAGGCTAAACCTTCCAATTCCCTTTCTGTGTTTTGCCATACATCTTTGAGTATAAAGAATGCTACTTGGAGTCTTGTGCTCCTCTTCCAATTGATCATAACTTCGGACAGTTTTCACCACCATATTAAAATTGCTTAATAGTTCTTGATCTTTTGCATTGATTTTGCCTGATGTAATTGCAGAATGCTATGATAAGCAGCTCACTTGAATTAGCAACCATGAAGCAGAAAGAAGCTGATGAGAGAGTCTCGAAACTTATTGAAGAACATAAGGTTTGCATAAATTCAATGTTTGGAATCGCACATTCTTTTGTTATTTTAGTGACTGAAAATAAAATGAACAGAGAGAGAAAGATGATTCCATGAAAAGGGTAGTAGAACTGGAAAGGGAACTGGCTGCAAAACAAAAACTTGAGCTGGAAATTGAACAGCTAAGTGGTGAAATTGAAGTCATGAAGCATATGGAAAGTGAAGAAGACTCGATTAAGAAAAGGATGGAAGAGATGCAAGCTGAACTAAATGAAAAAATTGAAGAACAGCAATATCTGGAGTGTCTTAATTCGAGTCTTACATCCAAGCATTTTGAGAGCAACACTGAATTGCAGCATGCTCGGAAGCAATTGATTAAGGTAGGACTTCTGTTTTATTTTTAAATTTTGGTACCACCTAAATGCATGAGCTCATCCATCATTATCTTAGATTCTTGGTGGATAAAGCTGTATGCTGTACTTCTTTTTATGATAGTTCGTGCACAAGTATGTATATCTTTTGCCTACTGAAGTTATTTTTGCTATCCTGTTTCAATTAAACAGGGATTGAGAGATATATTAACCGACCGTACTAAAATTGTGATAAGGAGGATGGGTGCTCTCGATGCAAAGGCTTTTAAAGATATATGTAAGAAAAAGTTTCCGAAGGAAGAGGCAGATGTTAAAGCTACACTGCTTTGTTCTGAGTGGGAAGAACATCTGAAGAACCCAGATTGGCATCCGTTTAAAGTAATTACGATCAATGATAAAGAGCAGGTTGGTCTGTTTACTATTTAGAACTTTTGATGCTTACGGTCGATGTCTTTATGTTGAGTCACCATGTGCAGGAATATCAATCTTGTTTGGTTGATATAGTTTGGTTAGTATAAATGTTACCTTTTACATTTACTGCCTTAGGTTTAGGGTTGTAAATAAGCCAAATATGAACATGTTGGGGCTTAACATTGGCCTAATATAAAAGTCTTGTTTATTTTCAATTCATTTATTGTATCGTTGAAAAGAACTAATTTTTGAATCAATTAAACAATAGTTATAATAAAATTGAAGAGAAGTCCCATTTCAGGAACGAACACAACCTTTTGGCATTGCTAACAAAACAGATAAAACTCGGGCCATTAATTCAACTCTTACGTACTCCCTCTCATCTCCATCAGTCGCACGAGACCCCGCTGACCCCGCTCGTCCTCTCGCTCGATCTCTCCCCCTCATCTCTATGTGTCGCACATAGATACAGGAAGCCTCACATGATTCACGTCCTTGGTCCGACCCGCCTGTCTACCGCCTCCATGCACGACACCAGTCACGATTGGGTTGCCCGATCCTGCCCGTTCGTGACACTTACACGCGACGGACCACACCAGCGCGTAAGTCCTAGTAGACAGACGCGATGGGCCCCCTGCTAAGCGTGCGACAGCTGTTATCGTCCCAGCTCGTCTGCTCCAGTTCACGACGGCAACCCGAGCCAACTCGCCTATGGCCCATTTGCGCACTACCGACTCAAATATGTCTCGTTTAAGTAATTAACGATTCTTTTTGTCGTATTTTTAATCCGATCGGGGTGAACAACAGCAAGGGCCATCTAAACCTCCACTTGTGAGAGAAGACATCGGGTGGCTGCCAAATTTTTTGAGGAAAAAGTTTTAAATAAAAAAATAGTATTTTTGGAGGGCTTTGGCAAACAATTTGAAAGCAGACTAAAAATAATATTAATAATAATTTTTGTTAAATGCAAGTTAATGATTTCATTTAGTTTTTACAATAATGAATTAATTATATTAAATAATAATGAAATTTCCTTAATTTTAATTTTCAAAATTGTCCTTTAATTAAATAATTAAGTAAAATGAAATAAAACATACAACAATAACAACAACAACAACAACATCAAGCCTTTATCCCACTACGTGGGGTCGGCTACATTAATCCTTTTTCTCCATTGTGTCCTATTAAAAGTCAAATTCTCGTTTAAACCTAATAAAGAAAGGTCATTCCTAATATTTTCTAACCAAGTCTTTTTAGGTCTACCCCTACCTTTCTTAACATAAGTCAAATCTAATACCTCTACTCTCCTAACTGGGTCATCAAAAGACCGCCGTTTTATGTGACCAAACCATCTAAGGCGACTCTCTCTAATCTTATCTTCTACTGGAGCTACTCCAACCTTTTCACGTATATGCTCATTTCGTATCCTATCTCTAAGGGTAAAGTCACTCATCCACCTGAGCATTCTCATCTTTGCCACACTTAACTTAGTATTATGCTTCTCTTTTAATGGCCAACATTCGGCACCATAAAGCATTGCAAGCCTCACTACCATCTTATAGAATTTTCCCTTAAGTTTGAGGGGTACATTTCTATCACATAACAAGCCCGATGCATTCCTCCACTTCAACCATCCAACTTGAATTCTGCTAATAATATCCCCATCTATTTCACCATCACTCTGAACAATTGATCCAAGATATCTAAAACGTGTACTCTTATTAATGACTTGATCGCCCAAAGTCACAATCCCCTCACTAGGACTATTACTGCTAAAATTACACTCCATACAATCGCCCATCTATTTCACCAATTTGAATTCAAATACAAGAGGGTATTATTTAAGGAAAGATAGTTGATTTGGGAGGGAGAGAATTTGGGGAGCCTATTTAAGGCTAACAATATGGTGATTTCAGTATTATGTTTTGAATTTGCTGAAATTATATTTTCTCAGGTTGTGAGGCTCTAGCCGTTGGCTAGGGATTCAGGAGAGTCGGATCTTCCTCTTCAATTGAAGATTCAACTGTATCTCAATATTTTCTTTCATATATCTTGCAGTAAAATGATTTTGGTGTGTTCTTCTTCCTAATTTCTTATTGTTGTTCGCTAATTTCAAGGACATTGTATCCACTTCCTATCAGAATATTTGGTCTTTACCAAGCTAAAATGCTATTGTGATCTTCTTAAACTTTATCATTATGATTGGCAACTAACTAAGAGAGGTATGCTAGGTGATGCATTGTTTTTATTTTTAGAACATAAAAGATACTATCAGCAACAAGTGATTGAAGAGTACAAAACTTGAAATAGCAAAATAGAGATTTAAATAGGGGATTAATAGAGAAAAAGTAGAAATGATAGCTTCATGAATGATTATATGACAGGAAAGTTGGAGTTATCTATATTGGAGATAAGATAACTGAAATTAGACTTGGATAGTTTGGACCATGTACAATGAAGGGAGGAAAATACCCTCCTTAGAAAAGTTAATAAAATTAGCATTAGAAAATTAAGAAGGAAAAAGGAGGACCTACGGTAACATGCGCAGAAGTTATTCAAAAAGATTCTTGAATAATTGGTTCAACACCCCAAGCGGCACTTAACAAGTACAAATAAAAATGAGGATGTATAAACAAATTTCATCTTGTTTGGTTTATGAGAAATTGGGATTTCGCTTCTTGTAAGCAGCAGGAATCCAAGCCATACAGATGACCCAATAAAGTTTTCTTCGCAATTTTTGCTGGTGTTGAATAGAAAATTGTCAATGAAAAACTCCATTTGTTTGTAGATCTTAGACAATTATAATTTCTGCTATCTAAGCTGGAAAAAACACTAAATATGAAATAATTAATTTACATGCTTTTGCATTTCCCAATATTTCTTCAAGTTAAACAGACCCTTAAAGCATTTTCTAATTAAAATGAACAGCCCAACTACAAAAATTCAACATGTCATTGAATATCCAAATAGAAAATATGGCATAGATGCCACATACCTTCCAAGTGATTCTGTTTGTCAACCTTGGAAGCTTCCCAGTGATGCCTTGACCGAACAGAGACCCCCACTCATCTTCACCAAATTTATAACTCTTCACCGTCGCCTTCTTCTTTTGTTGTTTCCTGCCTCTGCTTGCCAGGCCTTGTTCCCTCTCAAATTCTTCCTCAGCTTCTGCACGAGCTTCTGCCACCTCTTCCCGGCTCAAAACTCTTCCCCCACCTGCACCCAAAATAGGAAACAACTAACAATATGAGATAATTGAAAATCGTCTTAAGAAAATTACTCCTATTTTTTTCACTTTAGAAAGATGAACAAGGGGAAGAGAAACCTCTCGGGAATTCTGGCTCATCGTCCTGGTCCTGAAAGAGAACGGAGGCGGGCTGCTCGTGCTTAGACCTTTTGAACTCTGATTTGGGTCTCTTCAAGGGATTCTGGAGTTTAGATTTGGCATGCGCTCTCTTGCTTTTCTGATGTCTCTTGTCGTCGCGTGGTGCCATGGATGAGGACCAGAGCTAGCAAGATGAAGGCAGAACAGCGTGCGAAGTCGCCAAAAGGGATGAAAAGGGCTGTTTGGCAGCAGGATTTAAGCAAGATTAAACTTAAATCTTGCCAAACGGTATAAAAAAAAAAAAACTAAAATTTAAGTTCATCCCGTTTCTCCCCAATTTTACTTTAAGGGGCTGTTTGGTATCGGATTTATCGTGGGATTTAAGTCGGACTTACGTCAAATCCAGCCAAACGGTTTTTGTGCGCGCGTCCTTGATGTGGGAACCCTTGCCTATTTAACACTGCACCCGGGCGCCGGTGCAGCGGCCCTTGCACACTTGTCACTGTATTCAGGCCATACAGCGCGTCGCTTCCAGGGGACGCCCTAGCATTAACACAATTTCTTAAAGGATTCATGTCATTATTGTTCGACAAGTTTTACGCTGGCTGTGGACTACCTAACGCAACCCTCCACTTTTCTCATCCAGGACTTGGGACCTGGCAACGGCAGTGTTAAAATGAAATTAAACATAATAAATTTAAAATTGTTAATTAATTACTTAAAACACAATTTGTTAAAGTTTCTCTCAATTAGTTAATTAATTAGTTAATAAAAAAATGTAATAAACTAAATAAAATAATTATAAAAAAAAAACAGGGATGATGTTTGCACTAAAATGTTCAATACAACAGTCCAAATACATTTTAATTGAACTAAAACTTCAAATTAAAACAGACTCAAACTCAACTTAAACTCCAATCAGTGTGGGCTCCAACACTTGCAAGCAAATAAATAATTTTAAATTAATACTGGAACTAAAACAATAATACTGAAACAAAAAAGAAAACTGCTAAAGTAAGAGGAAAATAAAACCAAAGTAACTATTCCTAAGTTCAACAAACCAAAACTAACATACAACTTATAATAGAAGCAGTAAGACCGACTTTAACCAATTTGGTAGAAAGCTTCTAAATGAAGTAACAAACCAGAAGGCTAACTTTTAAAAAAAGCAAGAAGACCTATTCTAAAAACAATTCATCAGGCAACTTCTAAGTGAAGTCATAAGTCCTATTCTATTTCAAATTACCGGCCAACTCCTAAGCAGTGTCGTAAGTCCCTTCCTAAATAAATCTAACAGGCAACTCCTAAGCAAATCCATAAGCCCCATCCTAAATTAATCTAATGGAAACTTCTAAGAGGAGCTGTAAGCCCCATCTTAAATAAATCCTATGGGTAACTCTTAAGCGGAGCCATAAGCCTCATCCTAAATAAATCTAACGGGCAATTCCTAAGCAGAGTCGTAAGCCCCATCCTTAATAAATCTAACAGGCAACTCCTAAACATACTGTAAGCCTCATCCTAAACAAAACTCATGGGCAACTCCTAAAAGGGAGCCCTAAGCCCCAAACTAAATAAACTAACGGGCATTCCAATAGATATATGCGAACATCACAACCATCTCAGACTACTCAGGATCCTTGAGAGGAGGGAACCCATGATTGCTAATCAGATCCTCTGGACGCTGCAAGCAATGATTTGTTAGTATTTGACTATTTGTAGACCGAAATCTATGATATGTCAGGGTTATAGAATCTTAAGATCTTGATCGGGTCTACCCCTATAAACTAGGTTAAAACTTAACATTTCGAAGCTATGCTGAAGTAACTCATCCTTAATCGAGAGTACTCTCCCATGAAGTGGAAGGGGTAATTAACTAGGAGGGCTTCCGCTCATAGGAAGTAAGGAGATTTAAATAAACCCCGGAAAAATCTGGTTAATTAAAAATCAATATGCCTTACGAGAAATTGAATCCTCAGCCTAGAAACCCCGGAAATAGTTGCTTCATTGTCTTCTTCATTGATATGAGTTTCTCCTTTTGCTTCAACTTCAAAAACATCAGCATTCTTAGGAGTAACCCATTCATCATCAGATTGTAACTCATCAACAAGCAAAGGGTCAATTTCATTCTCAATATTTTCTTGATTCTGCAATTTGGGATGTCTATCTTTCAGTTTTTTATTAAACATAACATAAACTAGTTTGTTCATTCGATCTGCCGCCAATCGATTTCTTCTCTTTGTATGAATTTGATTGAAGATGCTCCAATTACGCTCGCATGCAGAAGCCGAACACGTCAGGCAATGAATTTTAACTGCAAAAGCTTTCAATTCAGGAACAACCATCTGACATTATTGTCACTCCTGTCTCAATCCAAGTCTTCTTAACATCATCCACCATTTTTGAAGTTGTCTTAACCTCCTCATTCAGCATCCAAGTCCTCAGCTCATACATGCTTGGAGGTTGCAGTCCTCTTCCATAGCTTCCAACAGATCGTAACATATTGATCCATGACAGACTCCTAACAACATTAAATGGAATCCCATTTTCATAGATGAATCTAGCGATATCTAAACAAACTCTGTTCCTGAGTTCTTTTGTAGCTGTAGGAGGCTGAATATCCTGAGTATTTATGTTTTCCTCATTATCAATATTTAGCATGAATCTATCCATGGGCCCCCGACTTCCTCGGTCTGAAGAAACTAAATGGCTTTCAGTACTGGAACCTTCATGCTGCGATCCATAGTAAGAAGAGTTTCCTATCATCTCTTCCATATTTCTTTTTGTGACCTCCTTCGTGGTGGCATACTTCTTCAAGTAATCAATACATTCTTTTTTCACTTCATCAGGTACTTTTGCACATGGTCCCACATTGACATGAGTGCAAGCTAGGTGATCCTTCAGCCTCTTGACACCACCCGTAATGCGCTTCTCACAGAAATTACATTTCATGTAAACATATCCCTTCTTCGCACCTTTGTCTAGCACTTCAACTTGAGTGTCATATTTCCATGCGGGATCTTTTCTTCTCGCACCACTGGTCATACTAATAATAGATAGAAAGGAATAATTAACATCAAATACAAACTATAAACAATTACCATCATAAATGCCTCCTATAGAATAATTTATGAATCATCATAATTAAATGTCTCAACCATAAATAAGATATCTATAATCCATAATCAAATTATGTCACAAGCATTAGTTCTTATCAAAAGAGATGGAATTTTTATATCACAAGCATTAGTTCTTATGTGTTGCATAATTCCAAAAAAAGACTTATATGTCACAAAAAAAAATTTATATCACAAACATATCACAAAAAAAGACTTGCATAATTCCAATAAATGTCTAATAATTATTCTTGCATAATTCATACATCACAAGCATTATATCACAAGCATTACTTCTTGCATTCAATTTTTTAAATGTTCCTAATACAAAATTAGTAATAGATCCTAATACAAGTCATTCATATATTAGGTTATAAATGTGATTAAGGATTCAAATTAATGAGTTATTTTATATGGCTTACCAAGAATAATTATTAGACTAATACAACCATCACAAGCAACTTCTGAAAATTTCTTAGAAGAAAAAATGAAAGCACAATTTAATTTCACAACCTATCATTCACAAATTTAATAAATCTCAAGACAACAGATGAAAAAAAAAATACTTATTGTCTCTGAACGATAGAGGCATGAAGAAAAACAGGAACAAGAAGCTTACCTTCGTCTCCAGTAGCCTTCAGGTACGTGGAAGAACACAAAGTATGTTGAGCACGGTGCAGGAAGAAAACAGGGAACGAACGACTGAGAGCGAAGTCGTCGAACCTGAAGTCGTCGAAGACCTGGATGCCGTCGAAGTCGTGGATCTCGTCGAAGTTTGTTGCACACGACGCAGGAAGAAACACGATGCAAGAAAAATAAAACAGGGAATGAAAGTTGTCGAAGTCGTCGAACTCGTCGAAGTCGAAGTTTGTTGAACACGACGTAGGAAGAAGAAAACAGGAGACAAATGATGTCGAACTTGAAATCGTCGAAGTCGTCGATGTCGTCAAAGCCGAAGTTGAAGTCGTCGTTAGGGAAAGTCGGCGGGAGCAGGGATCACACGACCGAACGGGAGGAAGAGAACGAGCAGACGAACGAGAGAAAATAGGGAATGAAAAAGAGGAAGCGGCGGAAATGCTTACAAAAGAAGCCCTAATCTCTATTTACGCATGACTGGCGAACAAAAATATTCGAGGTAGCGCCTCAATCGCCTCGACGCCTCGTGCCCTGAGGCGTACGTCTCAAATGAAAAAGGCGTACGTTTGTCCGAACAACCGAGGCTTACGCCTTAGTTCGCCCACTTAACGCCTCGCCTCAAGGCTATCGCCTCAAACGCCTTTTAAATGGTTGCTATAATATAAGAGTTATTTTTGAATTAGTTACTAATCTAATTGGTAATAATCCCATAGTTGAATGCTTACAAGAGTAGACTTGTTAGCAGACAATGTTGATATTAACGAAATCATGTCTAGTAATTACTAGATGCTAACGGTAGTCTATAATTTGCATTTAGTGCATTTGATGAATTTCGAAATTTAATTGTAATTAATGCAATTTTTGTCTTTCCTTTATTGATTCTTATGCTTTTTATATAATATATTTGATATTATATGTGTAATGTTTTTTTTATAGAAAATATTGATATTAAGCATTTTGTTATACTTTTTATATTAGGGATTTTTACATACATAACACTTAAAACTATGTTATTTTCTCATTTAACACCTAAAGTTTTCTATTTACACACATACCACTTAAAACTATTTCTCATTTCTAAAAAACCACTCCGTAACCACTGCAAAGTTTCGACATTTCGGGTTGGCATTTACACGCTCGTATGTTTCCTCGGGAGGTTTTTGTTTTTTTTTACATTAGAAATTTGACGCAGGAAGTGTATCAGGATTACTGCGAGGCAATTAGCAAGCTTTCGCTGGAAATAATGGAGGTTCTCGGGATGAGCCTTTGGCGTCGGCAAAGCTCATTTTCGTGATTTTTTAATTACTACCCTCCATGTTAGAAACCAGAGCTCACGTTAGGAACAGGGCCTCACTCCGTAATTGCTTCGGACAGGCCGTCATCGGCGGAGGCCTGATCGCCGGAACTTCGGCGTGGAGGGTCTTGCGAAGTGAAGCCAGCGGGATTTCATGGACGGAGTGGTTACGGAGTGGTTTTTTAGAAATAAGAAATAGTTTTAAGTGGTATCTATGTAAATAGAAAACTTTAGGTGTTAAATGAGTAAATAACATAGTTTTAAGTGTTATGTATGTAAAAATCCCTTTATATTAATAATTTATAACATGAAATATCTTATTCATAATGTATCATTTCTTACTTTTTACTGCTATGTCATATCGCCTTATTGTGTCTTGTGTTAGTGTTTGTGCTTCATGAACATGAGTTGTTTGTAAACGTCGGGCTTTTTAGAAAATATCTATGTCTATTTATTTATGAAGTTCTTGAGACAAAGGGAAGATAAGATGTTCCTTCTGCCATATTTTACATAATTGATTCTTATGCTTTTTATGTGATATATTTGATATTATGTGTGTAATGTTTTTTTTATAGAAAATATTGATATTAAGCATTTTGTTATACTTATTATATTAATAATTTATAACAGGAAATATCTTATTCATAATGTATCATTTTTTACTTTTTACTGCTATGTCAGATCACCTTATTGTGTCTTGTGTTATTGTTTGTGCTTCATGAACATGAGTTGTTTGTAAACGTCGGGCTTTTTAGAAAATATCTCTGTTTATTTGTGAAGTTCTTGAGACAAAGGGAAGATAAGATGTTCCTTCTGCCATATTTTACATAGCGTTTGAATTTTTTTTTTTTTTTTTTTTGCAGGAAATAATAAGAGAAGATGATGAGAAGCTGACCTCATTGAAGGAGCAATGGGGTGATGTTGCTTACAATGCTGTGAAGGCAGCCTTGTTGGAACTAAACGAGTACAATCCCAGTGGAAGATACGTTATACCTGAGCTCTGGAATTTGAAAGAGGAAAGAAAAGCCTCAATAGGTGAAGTGATTGAATATGTACTTCAGCAGTGGAAACAAAACAAACGCAAACGACCTTAATTCCAACGGTAACTCTATTACACTGGACTGGTGCCTTATTTTTCTCTCCATATTTGTCTTCTGCGTTTTTGGACATCATATGCTGGAAGAAACAATTGATGTGGCTCTTATCCTCTCTGCTCACGGAGGTAAGGAGAAGAAAAAGTAGCTGGGCCGTATTGAACTCGGGCTAGAAGTTTTTTCTTTTCTGCTTAGGTTAACCAAAGGTTCTCTTCTTCTAGTCTGCATTGTGTTAGTCACTCACTATTTCTTTTTTTAATGACTACAATTCTAGTTCCTGCATTTTAAATTAAGATTGGGTAGACCTGTCTTTTATGAGCTTTTGCTTTGTTGCGTGTTGGAATATTTGCGGCGGTAGAGAGTGATGTAGTTTAACATCTTAGCTTTGGACGAAGATTTATCACACAATAGCAACAACAACATCAAGCCTTTATCCCACTACGTGGGGTTGGCTACATGAATCGTTTTTTTTTTTCATTGTCCTATTAAAAGTCAAATTCTTGTTTAAATCTAATAAAGAAAGGTCATTCCTAATATTTTCTAACCAACTCTTTTTAAGTCTGGCTCTACCTTTCTTAACATAAGTCAAATCTAATACCTCTAATTTCCTAACCGGGTCATCGGAAGGCTGTCGTTTTATGTGACCAAACCATCTAAGACGACTCTCTCTAATCTTATCTTCTACTGGAACTGCTCTAACCTTTTTAACACACAAATAGAGAAATAAGTTGCTCAGAATGCTCCAGGGTTTCCCAAGAAGATTCTAATGAATCACCTCCATCACAACTGCCTTCAGCAACCTTAAATAACCAGTCCTCAACCCAACCTAAAGCTGCTCTGAACACTCCAGATAAATGTGATCACGATGGACTTTAACAATGTTGCTGTGAGCCTGTGACCAATGAATGTAATCCCCAACTCAGTTTCTTTTTATTGGACATTCTCAGTAATCAACAAACTGATTGGTGTGTTGGGCAATGAATCTGTTTCTGCTGACCTCTACATTCTACCTGGGGATTTTTGTCTCTTGCTGATGAGGCTGCAATTAATGCTACTGGCATTGAGTTTGTTAAAGAAGTTGTACTCATTACCTGTTGTTAATTACAGCCTTTCTGATGTGGAATACCTTACTACCCTGAAGGCACAAGAAAGTCATGTGATCTCTCTTTGGATTCTGATGGTTTCCTGCTGGCTAAAACCAAAAGAAACCAGAGGTCTAGATTTTGTAGAAATTATTATGTGCGGTCATTGGATCGTTCGGAAGTGAATCAGGATGTACTATGTCAAGTCGACAACGGTAGAAGAATCGTTACATATCAGAATAGTGATGTGACACCTCTGGACGGCATCTGTCGACCGCGCGTAATAATGTCTCCTAATTTTGAGGTGGTGTCACGTCAAAATGAATAGATTATCTCGAAGAGGGAGATAAAACCCCTAGGCTCAAAATGAAAGACATTGTATTTTTTACTTCTGAACTCATGAAAATGCGCATCATAATATCTCAAGATATAGAAGACAAATCTATCTCAAGATATGGATCTGTGTTCAATGGCCATAATGAGAATAAATATGGGGCTTCCTTATTTATAAATAAAAGAATAATTACCATGAGGCCTGCCTAGCTAAAGTTCAAACATATAAAATGATTTTTAAAAATGACATCATGAAACATGTGATAATATTCCTTTTCGCTTTCAATGCCTTTGCCTTCACAAGCAAAAATATATACTTTTTATTTTTAGGGAAATTGTGGGCAAAGCCCTTTATTAATCACCAAAAAGAGGAAAAATTATTACGTCCTCCCATCACCAAAAAACTCGGTTTTTGCTTGGTATTGCTAAGTATTATTTGGTAATAACGAGGAATATCATCATGTGAAGACCAATACCGAATTATATCGAGTTATACCAAGCTATACCAAGCAATACCGAGCAAAAACCGAGTTTCTTCTAGGAAAAATTAGGTTTTTTTTTTTTTGTATTTCTCGGTATTGCTCGGTATAGCTCGGTATTGGTCTTCACATGATGATATTCCTCGTTATTGTTTGGTATTGCTCGGTATTTGCTTGGTATTTCTCATTTTTTAGCGCAATTTTAGCTCTGGGAGGACGCATCTCTACGTCAGGTGGGAGGACGCAATAATTATTCCAAAAAGAGACAACTATGATGTTATAAATGAGAACAACGCAGCTGAGGAACTAGCAGTAAAAAATAACAAAAAAGTTGGAGCTGAACTAGTTAGCATGAATGCCTTTAAAGCAGTCAAATAGCGTGAGGGAGCAGAAAATCCAAACCAAAATTTCAGAAAGAACCACCTCTGGAAAAAAAGCATGGCCAAAAAATCAAATACTGAATACGATGCTATACAAAATCCACCTAAAAACCTAACTAAAGGTGGCAAATAGCTCTTATATCATCCCCATGCTTTCAAATAGAAAGCTTACGGTCAACCGCTCTCGAAATAAGAGAGCATAGAATAGCAATGCTTCTAAAATTGGAATTATAACGTCTTTCATTTCATTCCCTCCATAAGAAATAAGTATAACAATTAATAAACAATCAAAATTTAAAAAGTTTTCTAATCCTTCACTGTATAAATCCTTCCCTCCACGAAGCTTAGAATCTGGGAAAGATTTGGTCTCATAAAAAGAATTGGCTAAATCAGGAATGAACTTTTCCAAGACAACAAATGAATAATTACACTCAAACAAAATATTGTATAGAGGGCACATCTTTGAAGTTTTAAAACGGATTGGAGTCCATGAGGAGCAATATTTAGTGTTCAATGAAGAGAAAACAAGGGGGTAGGAATTTTAAAACCTGATAATTAGAGAGCAAAATTGGGGATGTTGGATAATTTCAAATATACATTAATAAGCTCATTAGTGGTTTATAGAGCCATGAATTTTAGCTTGAGCGTATTCAAACTCGAGCTTAAGCTCATTCCGGCTCGTTGTAAGTGCATGAGCCACTATATTAATTTTAAATATATTTAAAATTAATTTTAAATTTGTAAGTGCATGAGCCTCTAGATTAATTTTAAATATATTTAAAATTTAATTTTAAATTAGTATTATATAAGATATTTGATCTTTTTAATTTTTTTTAGAAAAAAAAAATATTAATTTAAAATTAAAAAATTGAGGTCAACAATTGAGTGCTTAGTTTTTTTGTTTTTGTTTTTGTTTTGACAAGCCAATTTTGAGCTCAATAATGAGCTTTAAGTCTCGTTCGAGCACAAGCCCAAGATCTGAAAAATTAAAGGAGCTCAACTCGTTTAGATGGATATTCAACTCCACCTATTTAAGCGGCTGTGTTACCTTATAGAAGTTCAACCGAATTGGTTCCACGAACAAGATCCACGCTCCTCTCGAGTCTCGCCTTTTGTTAACGTAGTGGTGAACCTTATAACTATAATAAGGCTTCGAAATTTTTGTACGTAATCATCCCAACGAAGCCCAAGTCGCGAATGGGGTCGGAGCCTAGGGCGAACGTTGCAACCTGCGAGTGAACTTGTGGAAATCTGCAAGAGCAGAGGCAAGCAAGTCAGAACCAAGAGCGATGAACGTTTACTCGTTGGGCGTGCAATGTGTGACCAAGATAGAGGAAGACCTCCAGTTCGATGGCTTCGGAGGCTTCAACAAATCGATTGAGAGGATGCGAAGAGAAGGGAGGGGAAACAAGCTTTGATATCTTCTCCTCCTACCTAATCTTACACTTTCATCATCTTCTTTTTTACAGCAGCTAGGTAAAAACTTTCGACCATAATTTTCTTTTGGGAAATTTTGTGGTGTTATATAGAGATGTATTAGGATGGATCTAAAGCTAATTGAGTTGATACTCAAACCAGTTTTAAACCTGCTAATTTAGATTTTTTTTTTTTGGAAAATGCTCATTTATATGCTTAATGTCGGTTGAAACGATACTACTAAAATATTTATTCTTTATAATAAATGTATGTATATGCAATAATCCCTAAATGAAAATTTTAAGTTTATTTTTGTATTTTTTTATGTCTTTATACTAGGTTAACAGGATTTATGCAACGTATTCTATAACTAAATCGTTAATTTGAATGAGGGTGTATTGATGGTTTTGTAAGCCTATTGTTAATAATATTATATGATGAAGATACTAGAGAGCTAGTGATTACGTTTGGGCTAAATCTGGAGTATAAATTAGACAGATTACTTGAAATCATCGAGTATAAGGATATGTTTTAATTGGTTTTATCTATTTTTTAATATTTGAGTGTATGATAGACCTAGATTTATTTCATTTAGGGTTTGTGGAGTACCATGTGTTGGAGTGACAAGATGAACTTTTTGATTGAAAGGTTGAACTATCTATGGTCTCTATTAGGTATGCGACTTTTTACTGGTTAAGGGATAAGAATATTCTTCCTTAGTAAAGATGAATTCTTTGAAATTTGTTTGTGTTCTTTAATTATTAATAATATACTGTAGAATATGTTTTATTTATTCATAATATTTCTAGTGATTATATTGATATGATGTGATAGTTAGTTTTGCCTTGTTAATCATTGCACAAATTTTTATGAAATTATTATTTATTTGAATATTGATACATAATTATTTCCCATATAAATTATGAATTTTGTAGATGTGTAACTGATTTGATCATAACATAATCTTCATTAAGAACTTGTATTTTAATAGAAAATTTATATAATATATTCTTGTGTGCATAATGCATGTATTGTTGGCTAAACTTTTTTGGATGTTGGCCGATAGGTCCACACAAATTGACAACTCGTTCGGAAATTATTGGATTTTTATTGGTTTGTGTTTATCTTCTTGGTTTCAGGATATCATAATAAAAACATGTGTGTGTGTGTGTATTGAGTCATTTATTGATGTAGAAATTCAACATACATGCAAGTGGATATTTTTGCATTTGAACACAATGATAATAAGTTTGCATATAAATTTTTATGAACTTTACTGCATAATATGCACCATTAAATTATTACGATATTTGAAAATCTGATTATTTTATACATTACCAATAATTGTTATGGTATAATATTTATTTTTACTTTTTCATTGATCATTTTTATGCCTTGTGACTTTCTATTTATACTGTACTCAATGGGTTTAAGTCATCGAGTTTGTTTTTTTTTTTTTATACAAAATTGCACCTATTATTTTATGTTTTTCAAATTATTAATTGCGCATCATCCAGATGAGAGATTTTAGACTCATGCTTTAGGTATATTATTGAAAGTTATATAGGTTAGATGATATTTAGTTAATTCAATAGTGAATTTTTTGGATGAATTATTGTAGTATTTAAATTGTATTTACATTTTGGTGGATAAATTAATTAGTGCCATGAAATATAAATTCTCTGATGATCTTATTAGCAAAAAAATATTATTGAACTGATATTTATACTTTTTGAAAATAAATTTTTAATTTTCAACCCACCATCTTGTAGGGTTTCTATGATATATTTCTAGACTCGATGGATGGGGTTTAACATAAAACAAATTAGTTCAACACATTGCAAGACACGATTGACACATGCAATTTATAAAGATAAAGCTACATGAGTTATCTACATGAACCAATGATTGGGAACTGCAGTAACTGCATAAGAGATGAACAGTGAAAGCTGTAGGGACAAAAACTATAGGAACCGCCACAAGAACTGAAGTGTGAAACTGCAAGAACCACAGAAGACATCATCCATCAAAATGACAATTTATTCCTGTTGTTTTAAGCCAAATACCTCAGAGACAGATAACAATTTCATTACTGCTTCCTACTGCATGAACTGCAAGGTCTTAACATAGACAAGGCAATTACAATTAATGCTTATTCATACCCGATGATCAAAAGCCAGACCAGCCACGAAAGCTTAACCAAAGCATGAACATTATAGTAAAAATGAATACATACCATTTAAATTGGTCACATCGCTACAAACAGGTTTTTACAAATAGTCTAAAAGTGAAATCAGAAGATCGCGAAGTAAAACGTCAAAACTATGGAATGAAACTAAAAACATTGTTGAGGCCATTTATTTACTTAGCATTTGCGATTAGTGTGAACTTGTAGATTACCGTCATAATCCAAATAAATCCCTTCCTTCTCTGTCTCTATAATAGATGTAGGTTGCATCAAGGAACGCATAAATTCTTATGCATTTGTGTGATTTTGTGCTTGTCTTCATCCTGTTGAGAATGCCATTCCTTATTCTTTTGTACTTAGCATAAATCTGCTTATACGTCTCTAAATTCTTTTTTAACTTCGAATCTCATTCTTTTTATTTTTTATTATTAGACACTATAACTAGAACATCTTTAAAATTTGTCAAGATATATAAATTAGGGAAACCACTTTTTAATTAAATTCTAAGATTTTGACAAGAGGGTGAACATTAGTTATTTGTTAGTTTTGTTGGTAAAGAGATGTACTTTAATAGTGTTTATCAAATCCATTCAATAAACAACTGATATTGGGTGGGTGACAAGCGTGTTAAAAGGATACTTTTTGTGCGGCTTCTTATCTTCATTGTTGGCATAAGTGCCCTATTATGTAGAATGGTCACTTGCGTGACCGTTATCCTAATCCAGAAGCTATTCTTGATGGAGGGGTTAATGATCTTCCTTGTTTGATTGGATAAGGGGTAAGCAATCTTGTGCAGAAGAATCACAAATCCTTAAATTGAATTACTGAAACTATCTTGAATGAGGAGGAAAGTGGAAAAGAACTACATAGTTGGTTAGTTTTGCTTGACAATTGTCGGCAGAGATTGTGAGAAGAGATCAACATGGAATGATGCAGTTCCAAGGTGGTTATTTGATTGCTGAAAAAAAGCCAATAACTGGAGGTGGCTTTATGTAGGTGTGGAGGCAAAAAAGGAGGCTTTTGGGCGTAGGATAGTAGTGTTGCTAAAGGGATTATAGGGAGTAAGATTTGATTGGGAAGAATGTAAATGAGATCGTGGTCGCCGAGATGCATGTTTGTAGGAGGGATGTGAAAATTGCAGAGTCGCATCATAATCAAAAATAAAAAGAATAAAATTGTGTGGGCTCATGCTGTTTGCGGAATTAATGTTTTACATGGAATGTGGCAGTTACAAGAAAAGCCTTTTCAGTAGTGTTTACATGAATTGGACTTATAATTTGGAAAGTTAGATGGGTTTATGTTATACGGGGTTTCTATGGTAGCAAAAGGTTTCATGTGGATTGGGGTTACTTTCACAGACGTGGTTAATTTTTGTCTTACTTTTTTTATTTTTTTCTTTTATCTTTTTTCTTTCTTTTGTTAATAAGGGTGTCGGAGTGGTTGCAAAACTAGGGGACGGGCAGGAATCAGCCAAGGGACTGTAAATGAAGGAATTGTGAATTTTTACTCTTAAATATGAGTTAAGATTTGAAAATAATTTCACACCTCACTTGATATCAATTGTTGGATGGGTTAATGGATTATTTTCCTTGTTCAATTAGACAGGTAGGAACTAGGAAGATACCTTTAGAGGAAGGAGTGCAAGCAGATAAATTGCATTATTGAAATTAACTTGAATGTGGTGGAAAAAGGAAGATAACTTTTCATAAACAACTTGGAATAAGGAAAGAAGAAGCAATTAACCATCAGTGGTCTCATCAAATAATTCATTTATAAATCATTCACTTATCTGCATGTTCATTCAACTTGTAAATATAAAGGAAAATAAACCCTAAAGATGATATTCTCATTTTCATTATTACTTGAAATAAGTTTGAGATTATTCATACCTTTATTACAGTTAATATGATAAAAAATAAAAATAAAAATGCAAATTCTGGCTAAATGGATTAGGGTTCTAAAAAAAGCTAAAAAATTTATTCATTTCAATTTATTTGTAGCTCATTGTAATTTACCTAGGGAAATTGACTATGTTAGGGTTAAATTGGTTGATTGGTCAACCAATGCTTATTGTATTGCATCAAACATGATGGCAGGGTGCCACATAGATGTTTACATTAGTTTTAACTTTTAAGGCGAGGGATATGAATTATCGCAGATAATGATTTCATGCTACATATTCAGTTGTTCCTTTAATTATATCTCTTGGCGGTTACATGCTTCTAGTTTTATTGTTGTGCTTTTGGTAACCTAACTACAAGTTATTTTCAGGGTAAACAGCTGTTATGTTCATGGTTATTTTGGTCAGTTGAGGAATGTTTTTGTGCCAGCCTCTATTGTTTCGAAAGTCTAATGAAATTTCAATCTGATACTGACATGCTATTTCTTAGACTGCTATGGAGAACTGTAGCCATGAATCGGCTACCCTTAAGAAAGATACAGCTGATGAAGACTCTATGAAGCTTATGGAGGAACAGAAGGTAATCTAACTATACATGATGCTTTGTGGTTGTAATTTATATTTTAATTTTATCCTAAAAATCTGATCCTTGGAATGCCCAACTATGGTTTAGAGAGAAAAAGAGGTTGCTCTTGCAAGAATACATCAGTTAGAGAGAGAACTAGTCGAAAAACAAAAGTTGGAATTTGAAATTGCTCAGTTGAAAGGTAAAGTAAAAGTTATAGAGCATTATTTGCATGGGGAAGAAGATATTTACAAGTTAGTAGACAAAATTCATAAACAAAGGGTTGAAGAGAAGAAAGGTACTGAAGAGTTGCAGGACACTCTTTTGATGGAGCGCATGGCCAACCAAACGCTATGTGAAGCTCGTGTAGAAATAATCGGGGTAAGTGACTTATTTGTTCTCCAGTATTCTCTTTCTTATTATTTTGTGCTATTTTTTAAGTTTTTTATCTTATGACTTTTAGGATCTTACGAAAATGTTGAAAGGTCCTACTCTTATTGGAATAAAAAGAATGGGTGATCTTGATATCAAGCCTTTTGAAAGTGCATGTAAGAAGTTTTCAGCTGAAGATGTTGTTATGAAAACTTCAGGGTTGTGCTCTAGCTGGGATGTGGAAATTTGTACTCCATCATGGCAGCCTTCTAAAGTCATTGAAAACAATGGACAAATTGAGGTATAAATCTAATCTTGGATCTCTATACTATATATTAATGACGTAATCACCTCTAAAAGTGCTCTAGAGGGATCCAATCACATCCCTGACTTGTTCACTTCTTAAGTAGTCATAATCAACCCTTTTAGCTCTTATTTGTTATGGTGCAATCATTGCTGACCATTCTCTGTTTCTGATGGATCTTAGTACATCCTGATTTCCTCAAATTAGCTTTACTCATTTCTTTGGCTCCTAATCAGACTTAGCGCAACCCAAAATGATATTGTTAAGCCAACTAAATCTTGATCAAGCCTGATGAATTTCTTTATAGGTCAATCAACCATCTCTATTGGGGACTCTATTCAAGCTTTATACACCCGGTTGAACCATCAAAATGATTTAGAACCCAATTGATTACTTGGGTTAACTACAATGGCTAGCTTAATTAAGCCTGATGATTTGGGTGAAGCCTAAGTAAGCTAGCAATTTCCAATTGAGCTTAATCTATAACTCTTGGCCAACACTCAGTTCAATCAATTGGAACTTAATTGACCTAAATTTGGTGATTACTCTTCATTGAACCCAATTTAGTGATAATTAGATCGGCACCATTTAAAGATAAAGACCTCTGCCCTCCACAGACTACAAGAGCAAGCGCTCAAAAGAATAACCCTAGTATCTTAGCTTTGGGTCTTAATGTTACTCCTTTTCCTACTTAGGTGACAAGGTTTAATGTTGTGATGGCTAACTTGCAACGAATTTCTCTCTTCTCCCCATTATTGGGTGATCTCTTATGGTGAAGAAGAAGATGATGATGCAGTTTGACACTCGGACTGCCACCATCCCAATTGTATGCTTATTTATTCTCTTTTTTGTTCCATTGAAGCACGGAATTGAGGTCTCCGCCTTTAATAGACCTTGAAAGAGATCAAGAGGACGAGGGCTAGGACCCAGAAGAATCAAACTGATGATGATGCTTCCTCTCTTTTCACCGGCAACCTCTGCTACTTCTACTCTTGGGCTAAAGAAGAAGAAAATGTTTCATCGATTGCCCAAATGGCCCCAAACACCAATAGTTAATTGGCTCAAGGCAAGTTGTGGTTGTAAGGTTGGATCCCAGATCTTGTCTTAAAAAATATACAAAGTGCTTTCAAATGTGAAGCCAAAGGGACACAAAAGGGTTGTGCAACTACCTGCTTTTGGAAGGTTCTATGAAAGGAGATTGTGGGTAGGAGAGCATCAGAGCAAATGAGCACCCTGCCCCCACAATAGAACAACTTGTATTGGAGCGACAATCAAGGTTTGGGATCGAGATAAAATGCCTGTTGGTTTTGTCCAGGTTGAGTTATGAATTTATGTGTGTTAGAGAGAGAAAGAGGGAGGAGAGATCTTCATGAGCTCTAAAAATTGCATGATTGACTTTCTCTGTCGCTAGTTGAATTAGCAATTGGGTGTAATTGTTTTTGGAGCTGAGGCACATCAAAACAAATTTCAAGTATTTCAGGATAAAATCAATGTATAATTGAAGTGACAAGCTTAGTGCCTCCCGATAGAGTCTGAACTATGGTTAACTATTTGGTAGGAGACTCCACCACCAAATCACATGATGCCTAAGGTCGGGGTGCCTCTTTTATTCACCTTGTGAAGATTCAGTAGGAACTCTAAAGTAATACAAGAAGCTTTCAATGTCCAACATAGAGTCAAAGGTTTGTTATATGCGTTAGGTCTACCAGACACTAACAACAATAATATGTTTAGATTCTATGGACATTAACGAGAGTTAGTGATGGGGACATCAGATCGTGGAAGGTTTATCAGAGACATGGCCGCCGATCTACGGCCACGATCAAGTCTTTGTATTTCTGAGTCTTTTTTGTTATTTCATTATTTATGTATTTTTATTTGCTTATTGTTTTTTGGTCTTTCCATTTGTACCCCTTTAATGGGATGTGTCTTGTATGAGCCCAAAGGGCAATTGAGTCTTTTATTTCTTTGAGTCCATTGTACTTTGCTATATATAGCCCTTTGCTTATTGTTTCATGTTAATGAATGATTGCTTATTAAAATTTTCCTCTTGCATGAGCATTTTGAGAACCTGTGAGTTCTAATGGAGAGGGAATTTACGCACCACCCACCAACCTTGGAAACGGCCGGGTTCGTGGTTTGTTATCTTATTAGTTTTCCTTTTGTTCTCCCCTCCATCTAAACCGCTGGCTAACTTTCCCCACCCAAGCCCCTTTCCACCTTCCTAAGCCCACGGCCAACCCATCACCTGCCGGCTCCCTACCCAACCCGTGAACCCCTTTCTCCCTTGCCATCCTCATTTCCTAATTTGGGTTGAGACAACTTGGGTGAGTTTGGAATTCAAATCCCATAAATTTGAATTTCAAAATCTTTCCTAACTTACCCATTCTATTTTTGGAAAGTTACTAAATTGATCCTTTTGAATTTCAAAATTCACCTTGGATTTATTTATTGCTTTCCTAAATCCTAAATCCCAAGTTAGGCAATCCAAATCCCTTCCCGAAATCCCCTCCCTGGTTTTGAAAGCCGCCAGCCCCCTGTATGGATAAATATGATTTATTTCCTAATTTCATACTACGCCTCTTTGGAAATAATTCCTCTCTCTTGCCAACTGAAATTCTTTTAAGCCCAAGCCATTATTCACTTTCCAAAATCTGTAGAGGGGAATTAGGAATTAACTCCCTAAGTCCACATTACTTGCTCATCTTGGGAAAGAGTTGGAAAGCCAACCTGAATTATTCTAATCATAAGTTGTGCAAAATCTAAATGAATTAAACATTGCATATGTAGTCCTGCATCATCTGGTATTAGAGCATGGTTAGACTAGGAAATTCATTCTAGAATACTTCCTAGGGTGTTGCCTAACCATTGTTTTAAGTTTTTTGCATGCATAGCATCTTTAAAATAATTTTAAACTTCATTTTGAGCATGCTATCCAGAAAATTCTGCATCATTTTAGCAAGCTTTAGAGTCTTCTTTCAAGTGTTTAGGTGTTGTCCATAGTTGTTCAACCCCACTACTTGCTAGGGTGACTTAGTACCTTAGTGTTATTTTCTGTCTCTGAATTTCCTGCACCATATAGGGTCATTTTAGAGTGTCTTTCCATCCCCTAGTTTGTTGTCCACTTCCTAGGAAGCCTTCCTAGTACCCCATTGTGTTTAGGAATGGACCCGGAACAACTAGGAAGGACTTTAGACCTCTTGGTAGGCCAAATGAATAATATTAGCCAACAACTCAAAGAGAATCAAGTCGATCTAGCTGAGCTTCGTAGGAACACCACTGAGAGATTTGAGACACTTGAGCGAGCTAGAGACCACCCTACTCCCTACACCCCATCTAGACCACCTTCTATGAATGAGGATGATACTTACCCCGATGAGAGGCAACATCGTGCCAATCATCGAGCACCCTACCGCAGACATGACCCACGTCATGATCTAGACTTGGATGAGAGGCAGCATCGTGCCAATCATCGAGCACCTTACCACGGACATGACCCACGTCATGATCCTAATATACCACTTATGAAAAATATTAAAATCGACGCTCCTACCTTTGATGGCACACTTGCCCCCAGCTTTTCCTGGACTGAGTCAAAGGTATGGACAGTTTCTTTAAGTGGTATGACATCTCCGAGGCTAGGAAGGTCAGCTTTGCGGAGATGAAGCTCACGGGTAGGGCGAGTCAGTTTTGGGCCAACTTAGAGAGCCTTAGGGAAGCTAGGAACGATTACACCATTACCGATTGGCCATCCTTGAAGCGGAACTTAAGCAGAAGTACTTGCCACCCCCGTACTTCCCCCGACTATTGGATAGGTGGAATAGGCTGATTCAAGGCAATAAACCAGTTAAGGAGTACATCGCCTCCTTCAATGACTATCTAATTCGATGCAAGGGAGAGACCTCTACCACCCCCGCGCAAATCTTGTCTATGTTTCGAACCGGGTTGCGAGAGGATCTTCGCAATGAGCTGTTTGCCCGGAACATCACTACACTGGAGAATGCCTATAGCCTAGTGCTTGACTTAGAGGAAACCCGTTCACAGCACCCGAGCTGTTCACATGACTCGAGGTCTTCCTACAGACCTTCTGGTAGTTCCACCTCTCACACCCCCACTTCCCAGTCGACCCCTGGGAGCACTACCCGACCCTCGTCTGGTCTCCCCACTCCTCGTCTTGATGTTAGAAGTAAGCCTCCCACTCTGGATACCCATCAATCTAACCCCGGGACCAAATACTTTAGATGTCAGGGGTATGGGCATATCGCCTTTCAGTGCTTTAATCCATATAAAGTCATGATTATCGAAGAGATCACTGAAGCCAAATTCGATCCCGAAATCGACCAAATTCACCAAGTGGACAATGATGGTGAATTCTTTGAGGAGGATGACGACACTGCTGTCATCCAGTACATTCAGAAAATTGACACTTCTCCCACATGCGTAGCGAGATGTGCACTGTCACAACCCGTTACCACCGACGACTGGCGTAGGATTACGATCTTTCACACCTACACTAAAATCAAGGATAAGAACTGTAAAGTCGTCGTGGATAGTGGCAGCTGCATCAATGTTGTCTCCTCCAACATGGTGTCTAAGCTTGGTCTGTCTGCCGTTCCCCACCCCAGCCCCTATAAGGTAGCTTGGGTCAACACCACTGCCTTGGAGGTAAAGGAACGTAGCTTCATACCTATCTCCTTCGTTGACTATAAGGAGAATGTTTGGTGTGATGTGTTGATCATGAATGTTGGACAAATCCTTCTAGGACGCCCCCGACTTTTTGATAATGATGTCCACATCTATGGTCATTCAAACATTTACGTGTTTGAACATGATGGTAAAAAAATCAAGCTTTTGCCATCACAGCCTCGTGTTTCGGATGATCCTGAATCCAACCCTGTCAAAGCCAAGAAGGGACTGAATCTGATATCCGCCATAGCCCAGAGCATGCCTTTACACACCTTAGTCGATTGTGAGACTCCCACTGAGTCTGATGAATCAGTCCCTCATGAAAGTCAGTTCATACCTAGTAGACTTGTTGAGATCCATCCTGATGGTCTTCCCGATCCATTACCTCCGATTAGAGGCATGTTATATGTTCTAGATCTAGCCCTGGGAGCCTCCCTATCTGATCGTATTCCAGTTGGACTCGACTACCTTGATTCAGTGATTTTTACCCTTGGTCTTAGTCCTTCTGAAATTGTATATGGGTTCAAACCTAGACAGTCGTTAGACCTGATACCCATGAGTTCTAGGTATAGGATTTTTGAGTCTGCATCAGCATTTGCATCTCATTTGCATAAACTTCATAAGGATATTGCACAACAAATTGAAAAGAATAATCATGAATATAAATTACATGCAGATTTAAAACGTCGATTTAAAACTTTTGAGGTTGGCGACTCTGTGATGGTGCGGATTCGTCCGGAACTGTTCCCTCCAGGAACAGTTAAGAAATTGCATTCAAAGAGTGCTGAACTTTTCAAAATACTTAAGAAAATTAACGGCAATGCCTATGTAGTAGATCTGCCTGCATAGTTCTATATAAATCCCTCTTTTAACATAGAAGACTTAGTGGCATATGAAGGTCCTGATTTTAACCCACCAAATCCACTATCAAAGCAGCCTTGTGTGAACCCACCTTGTGAGATCCCGAACCTACCCCCACTACCAGATATTCCCAAATTTCCCATGGTAGAGCAAGTGGAGGCAGTCTTAAGTGATGAGATCATATCCACAAGAGGAGGACAAAGGAAGTATTTGATCAGGTGGAAAGGAAAGCCCGAGTCAGATGATACGTGGCTAGATCACGAGGAGTTGCAGCATATTGACCCGGATGCACTAGAGATCTACGAGAGCGCCAAAGATACTTACTCGACGGAGTCGAGTTTTCTCCCACCCCGGGAGAATGATGGGGACATCAGATCGTGGAAGGTTTATCAGAGACGTGGCCGCTGATCTACGGCCACGATCGAGACTTTGTATTTCTGAGTCCTTTTTGTTATTTCATTATTTATGTATTTTTATTTGCTTATTGTTTTTTGGTCTTTCCGTTTGTACCCCTTTAATGGGATGTGTCTTGTATGAGCCCAAAGGGCAATTGTGTCTTTTATTTCCTTGAGTCCATTGTACTTGGCTATATATTGCCCTTTGCTTATTGTTTCATGTTAATAAATGATTGCTTTTTAAAATTTTCTTCTTGCATGAGCATTGTGAGAACCTGTGAGTTCTAATGGAGAGAGATCCCTAGGACAGAGAGATTTGCGCACCACCCACCAACCTTGGAGATGGCCGGGTTCGTGGTTTGTTGTCTTATTAGTTTTCCTTTGGTTCTCCCTCCATCTAAACCGCCTGCTAACTTTCCCCACTCGAGCCCCTTTCCACCTTCCCAAGCCCACGGCCAACCCATCACCCGTCGGCTCCCCACCAAACCCGTGAACCCCTCTCTCCCTTGCAATCCTCATTTCCTAATTTGGGTTGAGACAACTTGGGTGAGTTTGAAATTCAAATCCCATAAATTTGAATTTCAAAATCTTTCCTAACTTACCCATTCTATTTTTGGAAAGTTACTAAATTGATCCTTTTGAATTTCAAAATTCACCTTGGATTTATTTATTGCTTTCCTAAATCCTAAATCCCAAGTTAGGCAATCCAAACCCCTTCCCGAAATCCCCTCCCTGGTTTTGAAAGCCGCCGGCCCCTTGTATGGATAAATAGGATTTATTTCCTAATTTCAAACTAAGCCTCTTTGGAAATAATTCCTCTCTCTTGCCAACCGAAATTCTTTTAAGCCCAAGCCATTATTCACTTTCCAAAATCTGTAGAGGGGAATTAGGAATTAACTCCCTAATTTCTCCCCATATTCCCGCCAATCTCCTTACAGATTTTCTCAAAATCTGTCCACATTACTTGCTCATCTTGGGAAAGAGTTGGAAAGCCAATCTGCTGTTGGCCGAAACAGTCGAAGGCCCCTCTTGGGTTACTTCTCTTCCCACCTTCTCTCTTCCCAGTCAACACCTCACTAGAGTACTAAAACCCATCCTCTCTCCCAAACTCTATTTCTCTTTTAAGAAAGAAATTTGAATTCTCTCAGGTTTTAGGGAACAAAAGTTGAAATTGTTCTCGAATTTCGGAGAGTAGATTTGTTACCAAGCACCCATGAATGGCGGATCCGGAAACTGAATACGGCGTAACTTGGGATGACGACGGATTCACCGACATCCTACAATCCACCTTCTTCGACGTGAATCCGAGGATTGACCATACTGTTGAAGATTACTTGGAGCGGATCCTAGATACTTTGGTGGAAACTATCGACGAACACTTCGAAGGCATCGAGTGGAGGATCTCCACCTCTCCCTAGCGAAGGTTTCTCTTTCCCCTTGCATCTTATTCCTTTTAGTCTAAACTCTCCTTGGTTTGATTGCAGTCACGACGGACTCTACCGCATTGCTCTTGCTTTAGCTTAGTAATCGTAGGGTTTGAGTGCACCTCGATGCATCCTAATTCTCATTGTTAGACTAGGGATTAATTTGAAAACTACTACTATTTGTTGTGTTATTTTTTCTACTTATTTTGGAAGTTTCATAATTCCTACCATGTGATTTTAAACCTAAGCGGATAACCACTAATTGCTTTATTTCGTTGTTTGAATTTGCTAGTTAATTTGTTCTTGAATTATTCTAATCATAAGTTGTGTAAAATCTAAATGAATTAAACATTGCATATGTAGTCCTGCATCAGTTAGTGTCTAGTCTCAAGAGAAAATTCCAAATTGCAATTGGAGAAAACAACCTAGCGAAGTTTGAAAGTTGACATAGTGCTTAAAGGTTTGCCACTCCAGGAACTGCTAGAGAATGTTAGCAGATTTGACATATATGTTACCAAAATGTTGAGCCACATGGCCATACAAATGAAATGAAGTGTTGTCATAGTTAACTTGGTTGGAGACTAATCAACAACTCTATTTCTTAATCATCATGGCATAGTGAAAAAGCCTCTTCTGAAGTCTTGGGACCATTGATCAACTTCATTCATAATTTAATTAGGAGTTTGATGACTTATGGACGAGTTGCCAATCAGGATCGATACAATTTGTCTTTTCTAGGAGGGCCTCGTATTTATTCATGTAGCCAGCCATAAGCATAGTTGCTTGTTTGAGGAAATTGATGTCCTTAATTGAGAATGTTCTGAGGCATCATGTTTGGGATATAATTAATCATAGGATTACACACCTATGTGAGACCTCTACACCCTAGAATTAAATATAATATGACCAACTCATCTTTTGTCCCTAGGGAAAATCTTTGGGATTGTATTTGGCTACCTTTGAACCCCATGCTGCTCTGTTTCCTTAGACTCCAAACGAGTCACAGAAGGATCATCTGAGCTTATGAGTGCTTTTAAAACCCACAGCCATTTTTAAAAGCGTAAAGAGAGAGCTCCAATTTAAAATGAAGTTAAATTTTGAATTTTTTTTCAATTTTTTTAATGATTGGAGAAATTATTTTTATATTTAAATCTAAAGCTACATAAAAGGAGCAAGTCAGTTATCCAATCTGTTTTGTATGTATTCTAATTTTGTTTACGTATTATTTTATCTTTTAACTATTGAATTATCTTCTTAATTAATGTAAAAGTCAGTTGAAAAAGAACTTTCGCTCTTGTTCATCAAAAGGTTTAAATTAATTTTGGATTTAATTTTAATTTATTAAATAATGATATAGAATGTCTATTATCTTTAAAGCCTAAAATATGGAGGCCATTACTTAAAAATGGAGCTTTCTCAACAGGACTATCGGTACAAAGGTCTCCTTCAGCACTCAATTGGAAGAGGTTCCTGCACGTCTCAAAAGGCAAAAGAGAAGCCTAATGACCTCATTTTTTCTCAATTCCTCCAATCTGATCTCGGTCTTGCTGTCGAGCCCACTAATACTGCACCTATAGCAGAGCCAAAATCATCCAGCTTGAATTCCAGCTCTGATGAGCTCTTTCTTTGGCCTTGGATGGGAATGCTTGTCAATTTGCCTATGGAAGATGAATATGCTTCGCTCAAAGAGCAATTTGCACAGTTTAATCCAGTAGATGTCATTGCTTCTCCTGTGAGAGACCCTGTATCAATGAAAGGTGAGGCTGTGATTTTTTTTAATAGGGATACAATAGGGTTCAGGGATGCAATGGCATTTGAAAATCACTTTAAGTTGAAGAGGATGTGGAAGAAGGACTGGAAAGAGAAGAAAGGTGCCAACTTAATTGGGATTCATGGGTGGATTGCTCATGATGATGATTATAATTCAGATAGACCGTTAGCAAAGATTCTAAGGAAGCATGGGGAAATGAAGACAGTTGCAAATGTAATGGAGGAGGCGAAGGAGAATGGGATGACGGTGGCTTCACTTGTCAAGAAGATAGATGTTATGAATAAATATTTGGCGGAATTAAACTGCAGGTATAATGAGACGATCATATCGCGTGAAAACATGATGGATTCAAAAGCTAAGATTCTGCAGCAGCATGATGAAGGTGAATTAGTTGGCCTTATTGCTTTTTCTAGCTGTCATAATTTTAGATGTGGTTTATTTCTTTGTTCCAGGTTTGATTCCGATAGATAGTGTTAGACCGGTCCAGCCGGTCCGCACAGGACCGGCATTTTCGCAAAATCGCGGGATCTCCGCCTCCTGCGGAGGCGGAGATCGGGCGGCCCGTCCGCTCAAGGAGAGCTTTTTAGGAAGCTTTTTTGAGGGTTTTGAAAGGGAAATTTGAATATAGGGACTGTTTAGGGATTTCCTTTTGATTTGTATGCATTAAATAGTTGATTTTCCTAGGGTTTGATCATCTTGAAGTTGGCTGAAATCTGAGATCTCTTAGATTTAGATTTTCTTTGGGCTCTTGGCTTTGCCAGAGATTTGGGAGTAATCGATCCTCCTCTCGAATTGAGGATCAATTGTATCCTGCTATTTTATTCATCGTCTAGTGGAATACAAGTCTTTTCTTGAGTTTTCTCTCAGATTTTCCCGGACTAGTGCTGTTTTTTCTGCTTTAAACAGCAGATTTCTGCTGTTTTCCTGCTGTGGACAGCTGCTGTTTGTTCACCGATTTGGGTTAGGTTTGCTTGCGAACTCAAGTATTACCTAAGGGTTACTTGCGAACTCAAGTATTTCCTATCAAATTGGTATAAGAGCATTGATTTGGGACCTTCGGCGGCTGAAATTTGGAAATTTCAGCGGATTTTTGACAATCGGAAGAAGATCTTTGTGATCCGTGGGAAGAGAGATGGCCGAGAAGAAGGTAGAAGTACTGGAAGGCGAGATCGGGCAACTAAAGTCAGATTTGGAGGAAAAATTTTTTGTTTTTCAAAACCAAATCATCTCCAACAATGAAAGGATTGAGGGAAAATTCACAGTGATGGAAGAAATGTTGAAGAAACTGTTGGAGTTGAAGACCAATCCTACGACATCGGAAGCAAAAGGGACCATCGGAGGCCATGGAGTAGAAGGGAATCTGAACCCGTTTAGGGGGAGGAGAAATCCGAAAGTGGAGGTCATTGGGGGAGAGGACGACATGCCACCTCTAGAGCCACTTTCTAGAGAGAAGATGAGTTTGGGAAATGACCGGAGGGGCGCTGATTTCGTCGGGAGAAGGGAAGATTTTCATCGCTGGGGTGCTGATTTTGAATGGAAAAGAGGGGAATATGATGAAGGGTTTGGGTATCATCGCCGGAGGGAGGATCATGATAGTTGGGGAGCACCTCCTCTTCGAGAAATGAGAGGTTACGGAGGATTCAGGGGAAATTGGGGAGACCCACGAGTGAGGAAGCTGAAGATGCTCATCTTTGAGGGTGAAGACGGTTATGGTTGGATCTACAAGGTGGAGCATTACTTTGTTGTCAACGGGTTGACAGAGGAAGAGAAACTGACAGCGGCGGGATTGTGTTTGGAAGGAAAAGCCTTGGCATGGTACCAGTGGCGTGACATGAGGGAGCCTATCCGGAGCTAGAGAGAGTTCAAAGATTTCTTATTGGAGCGTTTCCGAGCTGATGGGGGAGGAGACTTCTATGAGCAATTCTTTGCCTTGACTCAGGAGGGGACTGTGGCAGATTACCGCGACAGGTTTGAGTACTTGGCTAGCAGATTGGATCACATTTTAGAGTCAGCCCTGGAAGGGAACTTCATGAAGGGGCTTAAATCGGAGATACGAACAACGGTCAGGGTGATGGAGCCGAGGAACCTAGGGAAGGCTATGGAGCTGGTGCAGTTGGTGGAAGATCAGAAGAAATCAGAAAGAGGGGCTCGAGGAAACTATTCAGGGGGATCTTGTGGGACGAAGACCACTCTTCTAGCACCCAAGCGGCCTGCATCAGGCAACATTAATGAGACCACCAGGGAGAAGCCGATAGGAGGGAGTGGGAAAAATTTCAAGAGGCTGACAGAGAAGGAGATGCAGGATAAGAGGACAAAGGGGTTGTGCTTCAGATGTGATGAGAAGTACATGCCGGGGCATAGGTGCAAGGACCGAACTTTTTAGGTTCTCCTTGTCTGTGAAGACGAGGAAGACGAGGAGGGAAGTGGGAGCAGATCTAAAGATGAGGAGAAGTTGCACTTGGATGTGGTAGAAGTCTCTCTGAACTCTATAGTGAGATTCACTCCGAGTCACACTATGAAAGTGAAAGGAGATATAGCTGACCGTGAGGTGGTGGTGCTAATTGATAGTGGGGCTACCCACAATTTCATTTCCACTCAGGTCGTTAACTAATTGGGAGTGAAGTTGGTGGACACCGGTTGCTATGGAGTGATGATGAGTACAGGGAAAGTGGAGAAAGGCCAAGGGATCTGTAGAGGAGTGGTGTTGACCATCCAAGAGATTCAGGTAATGGAGGGTTTTCTCCCGCTAGAGTTAGGAAGTACTGATGTCATCCTGGGAATGAAATGGTTGCAAACTTTGGGGGAAACCAAGGACAATTGGGGAGCACTCACGATGGAATTAATGGTGGATGGGAAAAAGGTGGTTATAAGGGGAGATGCAGGGCTATCCAAAGCTATGACATCACTTAAGACCATGGTTAGGGACATACAAGAGGTGGAGGAAGAGTATGTGGTGGGACTACACAGGTTGGATGCGATCAGATTAGAGGGAGGGGATGTTTCTCTGACCGTGTAGACCTTGGTTCAGCAATACAGTGAGGTTTTTCAGTCGCCTCAAGGATGGCCACTTTCGCGGGAACACGAGCATATTTCCACCTTGAGGACAAGGTGGATTTTTGGGAGGGGAGTATTGCTAGACCGGTCCACTGGACCGGTCCAGCCGGTCCGCACAGGACCGGCATTTTCGCAAAACCACGTGATCTCCGCCTCCTGCGGAGATCGGGCGGCCCGTCCGCTCAAGGAGAGCTTTTTAGGAAGCTTTTTTGAGGGTTTTAAGAGGGAAATTTGAATGTAGGGACTAGGGATTTCCTTTTGATTTGTATGCATTAAATAGTTGATTTTCCTCTAGGGTTTGATCATCTTAAATTTGGCTGAAATTTGAGATCTCTTAGATTTAGATTTTCTTTGGGCTCTTGGCGTTGCCAGAGATTTGGGAGAGATCGATCCTCCTCTCGAATTGAGGATCAATTGTTTCCTGCTATTTTATTCATCGTCTAGTGGAATACAAGTCTTTTCTTGAGTTTTCTCTCAGATTTTCCCGGACTAGTGCTATTTTTTCTGCTGTTTTCCTGCGGTGGACAGCCATTTGGCTGCTGTTGTTCACCGATTTGGGTTAGGTTTGCTTACGAACTCAAGTATTACCTTAGGGTTACTTGCGAACTCAAGTATTTTCTATCAGATAGCTTTTGCATGTATCAAGAAATGAAATTTGTTTTTGACTAAGGCCAGAACTTTGCTTTCTTGCTTTATTAATTTTCTCTGTCTTCTTTGATGGTGGCTAGGATATAGTAATACATTTGCATTTGTGATGTTTTGATCTGTTAATTTATTATGCTCTTTTTCTTATTAGAATTTTAAATTCGTTAATAAAGTTTATTATTTGTTTATTTTTACTTTATTATTAATATAAATATTGCCTATGTTCCTAGCGACACCCATACCTTGGATGATATTCTGTTTTTGTGCTTAGGACATTTACCTTAGAGGATTAATTTAATGTTTCATATATTAAAATTATAAGAGAGAGTAATTTAGAATATAATTACAACGTAATACTAATGTTTCTCAAAATCAATTTGAATTTATGCTGGATAAGCCTGGTATGGATACTATACATTTGTTGAGAGGTTTGATGGAGAAGTATAGAGAGGTTAAGGAGGATCTATATATTATATTTATTGATTTAGAGAAAGAATATGATAAAGTTCCAAGAGAATGCTTTGAAGAGTTCTAGAAAAGAAAGGAGTTAATAATTGTTATATTCAAGTCATTAAGGATATGGATACAAGATTTATTACTTGTGTTCAAACACAAGATAGTTTGATCAAATATTTTTCTTATTTCAATTGGATTACACCAAGGATTAGCTTTAAGCTCATATCTTTTTTGCTTTTGTCATGGATGTTCTTACTAGACATTTTGCAAGAGGATGTACGCTTATGTATGCTTTTTGCTGATAATATTCTTTTTATTGATAAGACTAAAGGAGTTGAAGGGAAATTTGAATTATGAAGATCAATCTTAGAGTCTTAAGTTTTCGCATGAGTAGATGTAAAACCAAGTACATGGATTGTAATTTTAGTAGTAATAAATTTATTGGTGGGATTGTGAGATTGGGTGATTAGTCATTAAAAGAGTGCACGTTTAAGATATCTTGGGTCTATTGTTCAAAGTGATGGTGAAATAGATGGGGATATTATCTATTGAATCTGTTAAAACTAGAAATTTGAGAGGGAAAAGCTTATTTTATTCATTACTATCCTCCCTATTTATAGATTTATACAAGATATCTAAATAAGGAAATAATATATTACAAATTTAATACATAAAATTTATAATAAAATCTTTCCTAATTCGTTCCTCCATTATGACGTGATCCATGAGAGCATCCCACGTATTGATCTTTGTGTCCGTCGGATCCCTAGCACTATGAACGGTTGGATTTCAACAGAATTCAAGTTGGTTGGTGAAATAGATGGCCAAATTCTTTTAAGAAATACTTTATTTAAGAATCCTCAGCTTAGCAAGTCTCCCTAGGTTTTAGAGTTAGTTCGTGTACTGGGAATTGATTTCCAAGATCCGAATGCATTTCTAAGAAACTTTCCTAGAACTCCTTGTCAGTTGAGTAACAAAGATAATTTTGGCTCATCTCTTTGGTCGTGAAATTGACCAACCATGTCTTCCCCATGGAATTTTCTATAGCTTGACGTCATAGGATGGATCCTTGACATTGTGCCTGTTAGTATTTCCCTATCATAGCAAATCTTTTCTCTCCACCTGATATACATCCGCACCATTTGCGATCATCAAACAAAATTATTGTCATTCACTTTGATGGCAGTGATTTGAAGTCTTTTTCAAAAGGGTTCCGAAGTAGGTGGGATTCTGGTTGAAGCGGCAAAGAGGGTCCCAGATATCGTGCCATCCATGGGAACAAGGAGGAGGAAGCAAATATGAACATGAAAGAGAAGGTGGATAGTTGACCTAGGATACTACTGTTAAAGCCTTCGATCCAAGATATAGTCCTTCCCAAGCTAATAAGCTAGGAAACAAATCTACCTAATGAAGGGAAAAATAAAATAGAGGGAAAAAGCTTCTATATGCTTTGTTTAACAATCATGAAAAAAATAATGATTAAAAATTAAAATCAGTTGTTGGGAGTTTGGGTCCATAAATAATGGATATCTGTGAGAATTTTCCAACAGGATCAGATTATGTAATGTAGAAACCACTTAGGTTGGATCTATTCTCCATTTTGTTTGGAACCACTGTGAATAAAACCAAACTCTTATCTTTATTGGCTTGCAAAAAATAAATTAGCGTACTCTAATTTGGTTGAGATGATTGTCCTTGCCATGATTGAATACATGTATGCTCTTAGGCAAGAGAAGTGGCTTGATTACTTTGCCAGGTTCTCATCTTGTTGTATGTCAGCTCTGCTTCTACGTGTTTGGAGCCCCTATAATGGTCACTTTGGCATGTGCTTTCCTACATGGTCGTTATTCCATGACAAAACTACAATGTATGACGAAACTATAATTTGTTTTATTGTTTCTGGTCTTCTTCGTTTTTGCATACTGATGGTGGTGAAGATTAATAACGCTTGCAGTTTGATAATTCTACGAAGCATGTAAGTATAGATAACCCCACTTTTGCTCTGAAAATTTGGCATTATCATGAAAATTCTCAGACCAACTTACTCGATTGTTGATTCTATTATATTAATCATATTTCATACGCTAATGTGAAATATGTGTTTCCTTTTTAATGGTCCTACCAGAAATGCATATTGTTAAGCGGAAAGGACGTGAGCATGCAAGAAGGAATTTGTTGGAGAATGACAAGTTGAAGCTAGAGTTGGGTGCGAAGAAGAACGAGATCGAACAATGTTGCAGGGAACTTCAAAAATACGAGAATAAAAATGATGATGTGAAAAGGAATATGGACATTGAGAAGGAAAAGGTAATATATGGAAAAATGTGTGGGATATAGATTGCAATAGATAATGATTTGATGCTATAAAAAAATTTTAGTTAACACTTTTAGCCATATTGTTATTTCTAATATTCATCTAATTTAATAATTGTACTTATGTTTGCTATACTGGAGCTAGTTTTTGGCCAACCCGATGTTTTTTACACTTAGAATTATTAGAATAAAACTTGTATAATCTGGTAGTGAATATTCATAGATCAAATTATTATATGAAACAAAATTTTAGTAAGTGGAGGAAAGCATGCCTGGGAAGTTGAGAGTGATACCTGCATTTAAGCAAAGAACATTGCCCTCAGTGCTGTATTCATCGGTGCTAAGTGGAGCATGTAATGAAAATTTGGTGGGTATTTTTATTTGATTTGTTGTGAGGAGAAGAATTTAGTGTACAAGGAGAGCTAGAAAAATAAATATTAGATGATCCAATCCCCTTAACAGGAGGGAGGCACTAGGTAATATGGAAGAAGGCCCGGAGAAAGCTTAGAAGGTAGAGAATTAATTGCCAAAGGGGAATAATCATATAACTAACAAATAAACTTAGTTTTATTTGTTCTTATGTTAGACCGGTCCAAAGTGGACCAGTCCAACCGGCCCTAAACCAAGGCCAACACTTGGTTTACACCAGGCGGGGCTCCCAGGGAGCCGCCAACCCCCTTTGTAGGCCCATGAATTAAATGTAATTTTAAATAGGAAGGGGAGGAATTATGAGGGAAATTAATTAAGGAGGGTTTTTTAGTAATTATGCATTTAATTTGTATTCTCTTGAGAGAGAGAGGCGGGGGTGGGGAGAATTAGGGTTAGAGTTATGTGTCATTTTGTTGTTTTTTGAGTTTTCTCTTAAGTGTTTTGGGCTCTAGCCACCGGCTAGAGATTGGGAGAGCCGGATCTTCCTCTCGAATTGAAGATCCATTGTATCTTGTTTGTTTTCTTCTACTTTTCATCTATTATCAAGTTTCCCTAGGGGTTGCCAAGGGATTTATTGTTGACCCTTCTCTGTAGAAAACGAAACAAAAAAAATCATCATACCTGTCCGGCCACGTCGCTCGAGCCCCACGCCCACGGCCTACACACGATACAACGCCACTCTTTGCACGACGACGTCGCATCTCGACATACCTTTACACGTCGCTACTCATCGTTAAATGACGAGGAAACGAAGCATTCGGGACGTCTCGCTCTCATTCTCTCTCACTCTCGCTCTTTCTCCTCTTCATCCCTTCTTCTGCTCCCCCGTGCTGTTCGACTGCTCCTTCGACGGCTTTCGCTTGCGATCGGATCGGAGTTACGACATTCCGATCGGAAGCAGGCGCGAGAGCACGCTCGCAGTGAAGACAACTTTCTACCTTTGCTTCTTCGGCTCCTTCCTGGTTGTCCGACTCCGCTCCTTTGGCGACATTCCTGCCGGGATCGGAAGTTACTACACTTTGGTCGGAAGCAAGAGTCGGGACTCGCTCGCTGTGAAGATAACTTTCTTCCTTCGGCGTACTTCTTCCTCCCTCAACGACATTCATTCCTGTCGGAATGGAAAGCACGACATTTTGATCGGAGGTTGCGACGAGAGCTCGCTCGTAACTTTCTCCCGTTCGTGGCTGGTCGACTTGGCTCCTTCTACGACTTTCCCCTCCTGCAAATCGGAAGTTACAACATTTTGATTGGAAGCAAGCTAGGGAGCTCGCTGGCAGAGAAGGTAATTTTCTCCCTTCCCGTGCGCTCCTCGGCCTAATCCCGTGAATCCCAATCAGAGAGAGAGAGGGATTAACTTTTTTTAATTAAAAATAATTTTAATTATAATTGTTTTAATTAATTTTGGTTAATTACAGTTATATTTTTAATTAATTAAAATCATTATAATTAATTACATTTAGTTCTAATTAAATTATTATAATTAATTTAATTAATTTTA